TTTTGTTTCCTCAACAACTTTTGCTGCTTGTTTTTTTTTTTTTTTGGAGGGAGGAGGTGTGAGGGTTTCCCAAAAGTCAAAAAGGGGGCATGATGCCGAAAAGTTTGGGAACCACCGTCTTAGAAGCACCTGAATTAGAAGACTCCACTATGGCCCGGAGGGAGGGCATGGATTTGTGCCATTATGAATGGGAGGGGAGGAGACCATGAAACAGATTGTGTATTAAAACATGGGTCATGCTCTGAAAAAAATTAAGAACTTCTCTGACCTCTTCCAGATCAGAACCCCCCGATCACATCCCAGGAGCAAAAGATCCCAGCAGACACATTCCAAGGCAGGCTCCTTCTTCACCTGTGCTGAAAGCTGCAAGGTTCAAATTCTAGTTGGGCTGATTCAGCCCTTTCTATGCAGATAAACCAAGGTCTCCGCAGTTTTCTGGGGCAAGGTCTTTCAGAGAAGAGTTGAGCAGCCAAGACATTTTTTATAGAAGTCGGAGCTTTCCCTGGGCCAAAATTTCCCCTTCCACCCTGTTGTGATGTAGGATATGTAGGAGCAAGCTAATTATTAAAATGCTCAGCAATCCCTGAAAGTCATTTGGAGCTGAAGCCTCTTGCTAATCAAGCCACAGATGTCTGCAATCCACCAGAGAGATCCGGGGGCCCAATCCGGCAACCCCTACTTGCACAAGGAGTCATTTTTCATTGTTTGAGTCTGCTAGGTTGCGGGATCAGGAGTGTAGACCCTATGATCTTGCAATCAAAACCAGGCAGGAAGACCCAATTGCAGGATCAGGGTCTTACTTTGCAAAACACTTTGGGACCTTTTGGGATGGAGCAAATAGAAGCTAAGTACATGTAGCACCTCGCAGGTTCAAGTCCAGAAGGCCACGTTGCTAAGGTGCAACAGTGAAACAAAGCAATAAACCACTGAGGATTTCAAAGCCACGGCTCCCGATCCTTTTGTGTGGCACCTGAGAAGCCAGCCCTGAGCGAGGAGATAGAAATTGCAAAGTACATAACAGCAAATTAATTTAAACAAAAACCCCTCTTACCCATATTCCCACAGCCACGTTCAAGGCAAAATAAGCCACCACGACAATAATGTCAGCAACATTGAACTGCTGCAGAGGAGCAATGGATCCAGTGGTGGAATTGTCGCCCATCGTCCTGCTGCTCCCTGTCCAGTCCCAGAGACACAATCACTGAGTCAGTAAGTGATTAGCTGCTTGTGGGAATTGATCATTAAGCCGGCGCTAAGGTTTTTCACTTGGCAGAGTCATTCATGTGGACAGACAGACTGTCAAAGTACAGCCCGGCTTCTGCCTCCTGCCCCCTTTCTGCTCACCTATGGCTCCTCAGAGCTCCAGAAATCCAACATCACGTCCAGTGACGTAGGCAGCTGTTGAGCTGCAAACATGATTTCTGGCTGTTTGCAGCCAACAAAAGGCAAACTGGCTTCCCTTATGCCCAGATCCGAACTGTGAAAAGAGGAGACTAAGAGGGGATATGATAGAGGTCTATAAAATCATGAGTGGTGTGGAGAAAATGAATAAGGAAAAGTTATTTACTTGGTCCCATAATATAAGAACTAGGGGCCACCAAATGAAACTAATGGGCAGCAGGTTTAACACAAGTAAAAGGAAGTTCTGCTTCACACAGCGCACAGTCAACCTGTGGAACTCCTTGCCTGAGGAGGCTGTGAAGGCTAGGTCTATAATAGGGTTTAAAAAAGAACTAGATCAATTCATGGCGGTTAAGTCCATAAATGGCTATTAGCCAGGCTGGGTAAGGAATGGTGTCCCTAGCCTCTGCTTGTCAGAGGGTGGAGATGGATGGCAGGAGAGAGATCACTTGATGATTGCCTGTTCGATTCACTCCGTCTGGGGCATCTGGTATTGGCCACTGTCGGCAGACAGGATACTGGGCTGGATGGACCTTTGGCCTGACCCAGTCTGGCCGTTCTTATATTCTAATGTGATATCCCCATGGGCTTTACTTTCCTGTCTCTGAAGGCTGAGCAAGTCACTCTCTCCTTCTTCACTCTGTTTCCAGGTAGAGGAGGAAAGCTTATCTGAAAGCGCCAAGGCATTATCATAAACAGCAATGACTTGAGCTACCCTTGTCCTGCTTTAGCGTCAGACCACGGGCTGCCCTGCCGTGGTCCTGTTGACTTACAGCGTGAAATGTGTTAGGCTGCTCTGGGGGCCGGGGGGTCTGAGAGAGCACGTCTCTCTCACCGAGTGATCCGCAGAATAGTTTCAAACGCAGAGTGGACAGAAAAGGCCGTGGCGAGGACAGCGATGGCACTAGAACAAACATCCAGGGTTTTGTCGAAGACTCATTTCTCAACAAACGTTTCTGCTGCAGACTGCTCCCCTCCAGGGTACGTTGTGGGAGAAGTGCACAAAACAAAGATTTTCCAGTGTGTGCGCCAGCAGATAAGCCCTTAAAACAGGGTTTGGGGGTTGAGAACCTCGGGTGGCCATGGACTTTACTGGTTTGAAAATGCTGCTCTTGGTTCTGTGACCACACATTTCCCTCCAGCTATGTCTACACTGCAGGCTTCTGGTGCAAGAAAAGCTGCTCTTGTGCAAAAACTTGCGGAGCACCTACATGGCACACGCCTTCTTGCACAAGTAAATTGACAGTCGAGCTTCGGAATAGAGGGCTTCTTGCACGAGAGCTCTGATGCTCTGTACGAGGAAGAAGCCTTCTTGCACAAGCGGGCAGTGTGAACGGGCAGCCAAGAGTTTTTGTGCAAGAACTGGCCTCCCAGGAAAAACCGCAGGTGGATGCTTGGACGCTCCGAACCCGCACTCAAGCTTGCTACTTCCTGCTTGCCAGACCCCCCCTTAAAGGCACATGCTCCCTGCAGATGCCGTGTGGCGGCAGCAACAGCACATGCAGCAGCTCCGCCACACAGCTCTGCCTGCTGCACCCAGGAGCCCCAGGGAGATGGCTGCCCCGGAGCCACCCCGTGAGCCTGCACCCCCATCCCAGCAGCCACGGAGGGGCCGCAAGCGCAGAGCTCCATGCTGGTCAGGGGCAGAGGTGGAAGCCCTCCTCGACCTGTGGGGGCAAGAGGAAGCCCTCCATGACCCCCAGTCCCGTCGCCGCAATGTAGACATCTTCGGCCACATGGCCCGAACCCTGAAACAGGTCTGGGCCAAGGTCAAGGAGCTGTGCCTGGGCTATATCCGGGCCGGTGAGGCGGCATGAGCTGACATCTGCCCGCACTACAAGGGCCTCCACGCCCTCCTTGGTGAGACAGCAGTCCCAGGACCTTCATGGACAGTGGACACCTGCCTGTGTCCCCCGGTGACCAGGCCACTTGATGTGGAGGAGGAGGGTGACCTGTCCACCAGGTCCGAGGATGAGCGTAACGACCGCAACAGCACTGTCACCCAGCACCTGGAGCCAGTGCTTAGCAGCCAGGATGTCTCCCAGGTGTCATCTGCAAGGGTGCTTCTCACTTACAAGGGTGGGGGGAAGCATGTACCCAGGGAGAGGGGACGGGAGCGTCACTCAAGCAGTTCGAGCTGCATGCCATGCAGCAGTACGCAACACATGCAACCTTGTGCAGCCTGTGTGGCGTGTTGACGCGGCAGGCAGCTCCAGGGCATGCCTGGGACCCTGCTGCTCACACACGTCCTGCCCGGCGGTAGGGAGAGGGAGGGGGAGGGAGAATGGTTGGAAGCAGCCAAGGCCCAAGAGCTCAGGCCAGAGCCTACACCTCCCAAAGGGTGCTGCACACAGACAGCATGTAGGCATGCCTGGCCATGCGACACAGCAGCTGCTCCTGGGAAAATTGCAGCGAGCCAGTGAGCGTGGCCCCCACGGAAACCCTCAGCTGCT